CTATTTTTAGATTAATACTTATCGCTTCTAAATCATAGCCTTCTAACAGATAGAATACTAAAAATTATCTTATGAAGTAAGGTATCTGCTAGAATTATAAATTATCTCTAAATGCTAATTTTTCTATATCATAAATCAACATCCATAGGGGTATATCTAGTTTAACCTTTAAATAATCAAGAAATTTTTATAGAAATTCCAAAAATAAATCGCTCTATGTTTTACTTAATAGGTGGGCTTTTGAAAAATTAATGGTAAGACTCAGCTATGTCTTCCCAAAAGTTGATCTTAATTTTATTCTGGCTAAAGTTTATTTGATTGAATTCAATAGCTAGATTAGTTTTGCACCAACCTCAGCATCATTTAAAGAGTTCATTTCAATCTGATCTAAATCAATCATTATCTCAGAGATATAAAAATTTCGAACCTTATCAAGCTACAGAGTTTAAATCAAATTAATAAAATCAAGATTTTTGCAGGATAATAACCACAAGCTACCAACATAATTTTAACTCAAAATGCTATTTATCATTTCAAGTCCATTTGTTTCTAATTGACATGTTGTAACAAATAAGTGCTAAAGAGGATTATTTAGTTTTACCAATAAAGATTTCTATGTTGATCTATAGTTCCATATTTATAGTATTTTGCAACATTTAGGTAATACTACTGGATGAAATTCAATAAGACCAGTCAGAATATTTCCATAATTCAAGGAAATTTCAGATTCCACATACTTACAATTAAGGTCAGAATCAAGTCTTTTAAAAAATTGATTTAAGCCTCCATCAATATTGTAGACAGGTTTATTAGTGTATATTTGCTCTCTAATCTGAAAGTTATTATTGGTAAGTCTGAGTATGACTTTCTTCACCCTTTGCCATTTGATCTGCTTGAATTCTTCAAAATAAAATATTGGCAGCATGTTTATATGCTCATAAAAGAGAATGTTGAATTTCACATTCTCACTATGTTAATCAGATATTCTCTAGTTAACTTAATCGAAAAAAGTTCTTTTGAAATAATAGCTTTGAAATTCCGCTGCTATAGTATTAGGTTTGGAATAGCCCTAGTCATAAATTTTGCGTAAAAATATCATATTTCTGACAAATAATCTTCTTAAATTGACATTAGCTTAGTATAAGGTGTGATAATTATCTTTTTACATAGCATATTCCATTATTTCAAGTATCAGATACTTTGACTAAATTTTTCCTACTCTCAAGAGTGCCATTTCTATAGGGTGATAAAAATCTAGTCTAGTAACTTTTGTTTTGCAACTGCTGTGACTTTAACCTTTAAACTGATCAGTTATGTCCATTTTGTTTTCCATTATATATAAAAGCAAAATAATAAATTATTATAAAATTTTTTTAAGCCTTAAATATTATTATAATCAAATCGTATTTATCAATTTCCTCTTTCCAAGGATTGACCTTGGGGTTTTGGGGTTTTGGGGTTTTGGGG